TTGTTTGTTCTCGCGAGTGGCTGAAGGACGAGGTACAGCCTGAAGGTGAATTTGGGGAAGCAGTGGTTTATCTTAAATGGTATGAGGAAAATGAAGTAAAGAAACAAAAAAAAATCACAATTGTGTAGTTTTTCTCTCTAGTAATAGTATAGTTCACCACTCGAATTTTCTATAGTTATATTTTATGTTTTAGTTATACTTTCTTTGATGCAATGCGTATCATACTTCTTTTGTTTTCTCAAGATATGATTTCTCTCGCCTTACACGGCATTTCAGCGCTGCACACAGTGGCCTGCGGTGCGCTGCGATTTTTTTCACAACGCGGCGGCCTGCGATGTGCTGCGATTTTTTTTTGCACATTGCTTTCTCAGCAAGATTTTGGGTGGCTGCGACTGCGCTGCGATGGCGTCAAGACGACGCTGCGGTAAATCACAGCGTCGTCGCAGTCAGGCAGGTGCTGCGGGCCGCGACGGCGCGTTTGCGTGTTGCTTTACATATGTAATTTACACGTCTAACCCTTGTTTACCATCCTTGAAAAAGTACCTTCCTCCTAATAACTTCTGTTTCTCCTTATCAACTTTCATGATTAAAATTGTTACAGTATAATATAATGTCTTTTTTCATATTATAACCTCATAAAACCCATAAACCTAATATTACTACCCTAAAAACCATTTCCAACCTATATACCTATATTTTTGCATTTTTCTTATCTTTTTCTTTTCTGTCTTTTTGTGATAACTTTGTCAGTAAACTATAAGGAGATTAAGAATATATTTGAAACGTGATGACATAAACTTGACCCAATAACCACAAATAAGCCTAAAAGAGCTTCAATTGATCTGAAAACCCCCATTTTGTATTTCCTGCTGCACTGAAGTTTTCTAATAACTTGGTAAACTGATAATGATTAATTTTTTTGATTGATCCCATAAATAGATCACCACACCGATACACTCATTTCAACTCTAAACTACTATTTCTGTCTTCCAATACTCTGATTTTGAGGTGCTCAAAAATTGTTCTCCATTACCTGTCAGACCAGTCTGGAGTTGTAGGTGCTGGATTTGTAGCGCCTACATATGCAAGACTGCATGTAGGCGCTTATTTGGGCTGGAAATTGAATGTAGGCACTCATTTTGCAGCGCCTACATTGGATGTCCCATGGAGGCGCTCAAAAATTACACCTACATTCTGAAATTTTGAATTTAGGTGTAACCAAATGACGCCTACATGGGTTTTTTAACATGTACATGTCATTTTGGATGGTTTTGAGTGCCTAAATCATAAATGCAGGCGCTTTTTTGTGGGAAAAACCCATGTAGGCGCTGTTTGGGCAGCGCGTACGTGGTTTTCTTGCGGGCTGCAAATCGCAATGGCCTTTTATATTACAAGTTAGTTTTGGGTACATATATATGTACTCAGGGCTGAGACTAGTGATTAACCTCATGTCTTTAAAGTAGATTCCTGACTAAAAAATCAAGTAATTTCATTCTTCATCCCTTGGATCCTCTGCTTGCCCTAAGTAGAACTATTTTCAGGTTAGTCACCTTCAGAACAACTACAGGTTAGTGAACTACATCATCTCCAGGTTAGTGACCTCTTGAACAACTACAAGTTGGTGACTTCATAACAACCAGATTAGTGACCTCCACATCACTCTTCAATCAGTTAATTTGAAGATTGAAGGAGATTCTTAAATCCAGCTTTCATAATTATAATCTCCTTTTTAGGAGTCATTTAACTGTAGCCTGTCCAGATTTATCCAAGCATACCAGTCCTCTTTTCCTCTATCTTTTCCTTCTTTGTAATTATATTGTAATTGCATTATATTTGAAATATATATATGATTATTTAAAAATTATAAACCCACCTAGCCATCTTTAGTGAGCATTGAGTACTCTTTTGAATACCCAACCCTCACAGTAAGGGGGTTTGAAAGTTTTGTTGCTCTTGTAGATTGGGCATCCAGGGAATCACACTTGACCCAATGTTTGAAGTGCTGAGTCTTCAATGAAATGGAATATGAAGAATCTGGAGCAGTTCTCTGATTATTGGGTTTGTGTTCTGTCCAGATGCTTCAGTCTATCTGCTTTACGTTAAGTCAACTGTTGTAATATATTGTGTGTAAATTGCCTGGAAAGGTGATTGAAATTTGGAAAAAAGCATACAGATATTCCGTGTTGTTGCCCGGTACAGTCAACTCTTGATGTAAGCATATCGACCGTCAACAGATTTGCTGTGCTTACATCGAGCGATGCATAATCACAAAGTAAGCATAATTCAAGTTTTGCCCTTTTTTGGCTTGAATTATGCGTTTATGGTGAGAATGGGCCCCCGGCACGCAAATATAAGCCCCGCTTTGAGCGGGGCGGAGCCAGCCCGGCCCCGCCGAGTCAATATGGTACTGCCCAGCAGTCGGACTTACCACACAAATAATCACCATAAAAGCATATTTTTCCTCTCCTGTGAGATTTATGCTTGTATACACAGAGAAAAACTCGCGATAAGAGCATATTTTTGCCAATCTTATGCTTTAATCATTATGCATCAAGCAATTTGATTTTGGCGGAGCACTCACGTATACCAAAAAAAATTGCGCGGCAACCCTTGCTTACATCGCGATATGCATACATGGGGCTTGCTTATATCAAGAGTTGACTGTACTGTCCTTGCATGTTGATAGATGTCTGAAGTCAAGGGCAAAGACAACCTGCGTATCAAATGCAGATTTACACCACCAAAGGGTTTGATAGAGTGAAACATTGAGACTGTTTATACACTCAATTGACAAAAGCTTGCTTAATTCTGCCTGTGGAACTCAAGCAAATTGACAGGAAATTTGTTGCAAGCTTTTCTTAAATGACTGTGTATAAAATATCGGTTCAAGTAGGTAGGTTGCAGGAGATTTTACCTGTTGCAGGCATGCCCACATAATTGCTAGTTTGCCAAATATGTGGAAGTCTCTCACTACCCTTCTTTATCATGAGGTAATAAAAGAATCCAACCAAAGACCAAGAGCATTGGCACCTATTGTAGTCCAGATTTAAGTTCTATGATGGTATGGTGATGTTCTGTTTTGAGGAGGAACGAGGAATAACATCCGTCCACGAGCCAGGAGCTTGAGAGAGAAAACCTAGCTAGGTTTAGAAGAGTCTCTAGCAGCCCTGATGACAAACAGCCATGAGATGACTTCCTGTGCTCTGACCTACAAAGACTCGCTTCAGGCACTGACGTCATTCCAGGCACCACCTAAGATGAGGTAATCTCACTAGAGACTACGCGTCCGGAAGAGATATCTAGGTAAGATCTCTCGTCTTCCGTTTCTCTTCCCATCCTGGAAAGAGAACCGTAAGCGCCTCTTGTCCCTTCTAGTGAAGATTCTCAATCTTTGCTTTCTCGCCTCTTCTCTTCTCTCTCAGCGCTCCGTTAGCTTTTTCAGACCCTGCTTGTCGCTGATAGCTCTCCCACCCACCCATGGGTCTGATGAGCTCTCTCCCCTCTCTCTGTCCCGCCTCTTACAGTCAGACGTCTGACTGAGCTTCCTCCTTCCTACCAGGGAACACATGTTGCGTTTGATGTGATCAAAGCAAAAAAGTTCACCTGTGGAGGTTGCTGAAGGCGCTAGGGTTTTCACCCGCAGCCAGCAAGCCTCACCTCAAAGGATACCTTTGAGGCAAGTCTTGCGAAGGCACTACCATCCTAGTGTGATGGAGAGATGTTTTACACCTGAGTGTAAAACACGTCCAGTGAATTGGACACGCCCAATTCACTGGCTTCCCTTTTCTTCCTCCCAGAAGAAGCTTCGAGAGCAAGTGGATAGTACTGGTAAGAGGATACAAGGTTTTCCTTGAATCCACTATCAAGCTCACCTGCCTCCACCATTAGGGGGTTTCAAGTCAAAACTTTTACAGTATCTTGCAGTCCAACAAGTTGTCCAATAGGCCATTTCAAGCTTTTTTGTTGTTTGCATATTTTTGTAACATTAAGGGCCCGTTCAGCTGGATTTCAAAAAAATCGTTACACAAAAACGATTTTTCAATCTGCCCCTTTTTCAAGGGGCGGATTGTAAAACATGAAATTTGGGTTTTTTGGTTACCAAACAGTTGACCAAGTAGGTCAACAAAAGATCAAAATGGAGGGGCAAATGAGGCCAAAAACTCTTTTTGGTCTCAAAAACAGCCTCAGGGCTGTTTTTCAAAATTGAAGATTTTTTGATCAAAAACCGTATTTGATTTTGATCAAAGACTGTTGCCAAATGCTGGTCTTTTTGTCAAAAACCAAAAACCGTACTTGGCCAAATACGGTTTCTGGCTTTGGTGGAGTATTTGGCCAAAAACCGTATTTGGTTTCCAGCCAAATGGGCCCTAAGTTTTTTGTAAAAAAAATCTGTGTAAAACCAACATATCTTTAATTCAGGAGTCTAGACACCTAATTTTACAACAAATGTCAGCCTGAGTCTTCCAATAGTTGTTACGTGGGAGAATAAGGTTGATATGATTACTCACAAAAGTATTTACTCTAAGAAATTTGGTAGTTCAGACTAACAAATTCAAATAATAAAGGCTTTAGATTCTTGGTGAGCAAAGTTGAAAAAGTAAAGTATAGTCGTTAGCTATAACTTGTCTAAGGTACAGAATTTGGATACCGCTGCCAGTTTAGATATATAGTGCACTCACTATATAAATCTTCTGAAATGAACACGGGATTCGTGGTTATGTAACAGGCTTGCTTCAGCGGTGGTTTGATAATAGTTTATCAAAAACGAAGTGTAGGTTGGAAGTACACGTCAGTCAATTAGAACTACCTAAATGATCTGTAACGTTTTCTAGCAACCTTAACGATAAAGTGAAAAGAGGAGAAATATAGATCTTATTCGGTCGATGAGAAGTTAAAAGATAAAAAGGTCCTTCCTCTTTAAAGAAGGAGTATCTAACTGTTTAGCTAACTGATCTAAGAGTGAATAAGAAAAAAGGGAGAAAGGTGGAATTGGTTTTATTCTAGGAAAGTAGAAGCTTTCGTAAAGAAATAAAGTTTTGTGTTTAAAAGATTTGTGTGGTGTTATGGATAAAAGATGTCGTTTGTTCCTTGTTGGAGAGAGTGGTTGATATTTAACGGAAAATTCCTTTGGAATCATTCGTACTTAGTTACTCTCTTTTCTTCTTTCATTAAGGGTCCAGGTAGTTTCTTGGTTGGCTGGTTTCCTGTTATCGTGCTTTCAACTCAAGATGTGCTCCGGCGGGTATCCGGCGGCTTCAGGCCATTCCGACGACCGAACCGACGGATATTTTGTTTTATCCGCACCGATCGGATAAAATCCAATCGGTTTTTTTTCTAAAAACCCCTCGTCCGACACTCGAGCCGATACACCGGATACGCCGGATTTCCGCCGGATAGCCGGAGTATCCGGTGTATATCCGGCGTTATTTTTCCCTCCCCTCATTCCGAATACCGAACCGGCCGGATTACCCGGCCACCGGACAATCTTGAAGGCCTTTCCGGCATCCGGATCCGCCGGAGCATCCGACGGATATCCGGCCAGAACCCGGGTCCGGGTCTCATCTTGAGTTTCAACTGGCCTAGCCTGGATTGTATTCTTAGACCCTAGTTTGGTCAGGGACGACATGTTAGTTGTTGTATCATTTTTATTAAGGAACCGTAGTTGGTTTCTTAATACTTATTTTATATTTTGAAATTAACTTGTTAAGTAATACACTCTTGAAACTCGAGTGATAGAGGTGTGGGTTTTAGTATGTGTCTTTTATGGTTTTATGTTTGTAAGTACTGATTGTATTTGCAAAAGTGAGCTATGGGGTTGTTCTGTTGTCTCTACCATGGAGGTTCTGCTCTGCAGAACCTCTCGCGGTTGACACTCTCCGGGGTCGGAAAAAAAGAAAAGGTCTTTCTAAGAGGTTTTCTTTTCTATTCTAAACCTGCGTAGTACTTGTGCTGCGTTTGTTATTTTATTTTCTGGCAGCCATTCGTCTAGATCGGAAGTTTTATCTTTGTACCTTACTAGGTATAGCCTGATTTCTTTTCCCAATATTTTAACTCTCTTCTGTTCAAGCACTTTATGAACTATTTTTGGAGCGTTGTCATCGAAGGGGACAGCTTCTTCTGCTGATTTCCTATTAGGGAATTTATCTTTTTCAGCTTCTTTAAAATGTTTTAATAACGAGACTGGAAACGTGGGATGTTTCCTTGCAAAGTCTCCTGTTAGTAATACTTCTACTGCATTGGGGCCATGGAGTTTCACGACTGTGAATGGTCCTACAAACGAGTCTTTTAATTTCCTAGGTCCTTGTATGCTATTGAAATTTACTGTAGACACTAGTACTTTGTCTCCTACAACAAATTCTGGCTCTTTGTGCGATTTGTCCCATTGTTCCTTGTTATACTTAGTTGCTTCTTCAATGCAGTTCTTGGCAAACGTTCTCGCTTTGGTCAACATGTCGTGGAAATTTAAAGAAGTTGGATGGATATGGATTGTTTTGTCCTTAATCATATCTTTTGGGGTCCGCGGGTTATATCCCCTTTCTAATTCGAACGGAGTCTTTCCCGTGACGCTATGCAAACTAGTATTATACGCTAGTTCTAGGGCTGGCAGGAGGGTTTTCCAATCGTGTGCAAACCCTTCCTTATCTTTAAAAGATAGCCCAAAGGCGCAATATCGCCTGAGCATGTCCTTGAATGTTTGTATCATTCGTTCTGCTAACCCGTCCGTTTGTGGATGGTATGCGGTCGACATCGCAAGTGTGGTACCCATCAGTCTTGTCAGTCCTTTCCAAAACTCTGATGTGAATTTCGGGTCGCGGTCACTGATAATAACTCTCGGCAATCCACCATCGGTGATAATATATTGCCAAAACAGAAGTGCTGTTCCCATGGCGTCTATCTCTTTGTGACATGGAATGAATCTAGTTCGTCTGGAAAATCGGTCCACTACCACTAGGACGCTGTTAACGCTGTCATCTCCAGCTGGTGGCAAGCCAGTCACGAAGTCCATATTGATGACTTCCCAGGGAAATTTCGGTTCTTCTATTCGTTGTAGTAGACCAAACCGTTTCCCAGTTTGTTTATTTGCCTTTTGACATCTCTCGCAAGACGCAACATACTGTTGGGCATCTTGTTGCCATCCTGGCCACCATGCCGTTGTACTGAGTCGTTCCAACACTCTATCCTCGCTCAAATGCCCCGACATAAAATCGTCATGGCAGACGGCAAGGATTTTCTCGATGTCAAGTTTATCGCATACTACTAGGACATTCGTATGCTTCTCTTTGTGGTATAGTAAACCCAAAATCAGAGAGAACTTACCCTCCTGGAATGGTTCTTTCCATTCTTTCTCTAGTATGCTTACTAGCGCGGCATCTTTCTGTTCCGATCCTAAAATTTTAATTAGGGTCATTGTGTTAGAATTTCAAGAGTAGCTTTCTTCGATAATGGCGAAGAACTCTTCTGATAATTCGCATAGACTGATGCCCATGATCGGCATGTCGCGTTCTTCGTCTTCAGCTTCCCAGGCTGGGTTATTGCTATTATTTGGCATTGCCATCCGACTTAGTGCGTCAGCGTTGCTGTGAAGCACTCCCGGCATGTGAGTTATCGTCATGTACGATTTGTACTCTTGTATGGCCATCTGCCATTGGAGCATGTGCCTAGTCGGTGTCTTGGTATTTAGTAACGATTTGATAGCTTGGCAGTCCGTAATCACCTCGAAATATATGCCGTCTAAGTAATAATGTAACTTATTCAAGGCCCACACTAGTGCTAAGCACTCTAACTGAGGTGCGCCATACTTTTTCTCGCTTTCTTCAAGCTGACGGGAAATGAAACATACTGGTCCATTTACTAGTTTGTTGTTTATTACTTGTTTCTGATGTAATGCGGCACCAAGCCCCAAGAAGCTAGCATCTACATACAATATGAATGGCTTACTAAAATCAGGTTGTAGCAGGCATGGTGCCGTTGTCAGCAGTGTTTTGACTTTATTCCATGCTGTGGCCCGTTCCGTAGTGATCTGAAATTCTACTCCTTTCTTCAGTAAGTAGTATAATGGAAATGTAACTTTAGCGTAATTTTCGAGATACATTCTATAATAGCTAGAAAACCCGAGGAAGCTTTGTATTTCCTTCACTGTTTTTGGTAGTGGTCGGTGAATGACCGCTGCAACCTTGTTTTGGTCTATTGCTAAAGTAAGGCCTGATACTATATGACCGAGTGCTTTAACTTCATGGAATCCAAACTTGCATTTATCTAAAGACACTGTTGCGCCTAATACTGTGAGTTTCTTTAACAGGGAATGTAATGTGGCTAGATGCTCTTCCCATGACTCATGGAAGACGATGATATTGTCAATATATACTATGACGTGTCCGCCTCGTAATTCTTTGTAAAACTCAGTGTCCATCATTTTTTGGAAGAAAGCCGGTGCGTTTTTAATGCCAAAAGGCATTCTTTGATATTCGAATATTCCCAAGTGGCAAATAATTCGTAGGAACTTCCTACTTTCTAAAGCTACAATGTTCTGGTGAAACCCCTTCATCATGTCCATAGTAGTGATGTAGAGTGATTTCCCCAGATTCGTTATAACTTGCTCTATTCTGGGCATTGGATACCAATCTGGCACTGTGTAAGCATTGAGGGCACGGAAGTCCCCACACACCCGTGACTTCCCACCGTGCCAGGAGACCACGCAAGGTGTGGTTATCTCTACATCCTCGTTTTGTTGAACTTTTCTTAAAATTCCCAACCGAAGTAACTCTGCGATGTGAATCTCTAGTTCAGCACGATTCCTTGGACTAGCTGGATAGGCCGCCTTCCTGAGAATGGGCGGATAGGGTTTATCTACTGTAAGTTGTATTTCAACTTCATACTTATTGATTTTCCCAATTTTTGTCTTTCCCAAGCCAAAACCATCTTGATATACTTGTACCAATGTATGGATTTCGTCTGTTTGTTTCTTATCTAGGTTGGGGCCGGTGCAGATTCGTCTCAATGTGTCGTCTGGCAGTTGAGCATTCGTAGGACATGTCTCTGCTAAAATGGATAAAACTCGTTTGTGGTTCAAAAGCGCGAATTTTTTCTTTTTATTCTCGTTACCTATTGTGAAATACTTCTCACGAGTATGCATAATATCGATGCCGTATAACGATAGGAAATCGTCTCCCAAAATGAAGTATTCTGGGGTAGCGTTCCTCATAACAACAAATTCTGGTCTAATGCGCACTGATCCCTCGGTGTGTGGGAATATCATAGGGACTTCTAGGACCCCTATCGATTCCAGTGTTTCTCCGCATCCTCGAAATGTGGTGTTACTTTTAGGCAACATGTCATGCCTCCATGATGGCAATATACGGTCGAGGAATCTCTCCCCTACTGCCGAGCACGATGCTCCACTATCCAGGAGGCACCTGAACTCTCGGTTGTTGACTATCACCGTTGTCATGCTATGCTGTCCTGTCAGATGAGCCTTCCCTGTGGCGGGTCTGGTCTTCATCTGCCTGGCGTCGCTGACCTGTGTTCCTTTCAATCCATTGTGCCAGTGTTGTGGAATTTCTGCTAATGCTTGTAGGTGCGCTATGTCTAAATCCTCGTGGCAGGATTCAATTGCCCGTACTTTTATCTCATCAATAGCTCTCCCTGTCACGTTTGTCTCGTGTATAGGTATGAAAACTGAATCCGTTCCATGGATCCTTAATTCAATATTATCATTATACGCGATGCTCATGCCGTATAGGTGCATCATATTGGCTCCTAGTATGACTTCAACATGATTGGCATCCAATATCACGACGAAATCTATCATAAGTATACATGGATTCGTCTCATGTAGGAAATGTATAGGTAGAGTTATCTCTCCCAGCGCTCTCATTTTTCCTGAGGCACTGAAATATTTCCTATTATAATTCGGTAGTTGCATATCTTTCTTCCAGTAAGGCCAGATTTTATCTAAAATTCTCGGCGTCACCAAAGAATTGCACGCACCTGTATCAATAAGCATGTTCAGCTTCCAACTATTACACATAGTAATGAGAAATGGGCTCCCCAGTTTCTTTACTACGTTTCGTCTGTCAATGAAAACTGGTCGGTTTATCGTAGTTTCCTCCAAACAAGAGATGTCTAAAACCTGGAATGTTTCCTCAAGATTTGAGATGTCCGCTGTGTAAGATGATTCTTCTTGCACGGCTCTATAATCGCCGTTATCGCACAATGAATCATTGTCATCATGGAATATGAGCTCTAGCTCTTCCTCTGTAGGGGAACATGGGTCTGGATCTACTTCTTCCTCGAGCATATTGATCCCTTTGCTCTTCCTTCTGCAAGCACGGAAATCATGTCCTCCTTCAGTGCTCCCGCAAGTATCGCACTTGCCCGGTACACGTGTCACTGTCGCTTTCACGGCTGTTGGTTTGGTTGCCGTGTTACTTCCACTGGTCGCCTGCGTTTTCCATTCTTGGTTAGGCTTATTCATAAGTTTTTCTCTACCAATTGTAGTTCTCCTAACTACTTCTCCGAAAACCTTAGAGAAGTAAACAAAATCAATATTGGAACCTAACCTGCTGCGAACAGCGTGATCCAGGTTTCCCGAGCATTGATCTAACATTTTGTCTATGACCTGTTCCTCTGTGGCTGTAGGTTGTGCTGCTTGCAATCTACGCCGTTGTTTGACAAGCCATGTCATAGTATCAGTATTTATCCTAGGGTTAAAGCGGTCATTGTCAAACGAAGTCTGCATGTGACGTCTCCACTCCCTAGTGCCGAATTGCTCGCAGATATGCACTTTCCATTCATCCCAAGTGAAGTCTTTCTCTTTTCGTTTCTGCAAGAACCAGAGCTCTGCAATTCCTGTGAACGCTAAACCTAGTCTCGATGTAATTAGCGGATCTGGGACATGCATAGTCTTCTTAATATTGTCCACCCATTCGATGAAGGTTACATGGTCATATTCGCCTGAGCCACTGAACTTCGGCCAGTCTTTTGCTTGTGGGATCTCTTTTTTGAGCAGATTGAACATTTCCATCGAATTGTCTTGTCTGTCTTCCGACTTAACTGTCACTTCCCTAGCTTTTCCTTTCGTCTCTTGTCCGCGAGTCTCTATTTGCGGTGACCATATTTCTTCATTATCTGCAGATGTTCTTTGGTGGAGCATGGTGTCTGCCCTTCTAGGTGAGGGCTCTCTCTCGTGCTGTTCGTGCATCGAGTGTTCCTTCGTTTCTCTCATATGAGGAGGTGGATCATGAGTGATCGTTGCTGGGGTTACGCTAATAGCTCTAGGAGTAGCATCCTT